CCTCACCCTACCTCCTTTCTGAATCTCACAGACTCCAAGTACAATTTGTACTTCCCATATGCTAAAGGATGTGGAGCTAGCCATTGGGTAGTGGCTACCCTACTTGGGGCCACATGCTTACAGAAAACTGATTCTTCCTCCCTCAGCAACCATCAGCTGTCAGCAGCTCCTCAGCTAGGGGTGGAAGCTGGACAGTGTCCCCTGCTCCCTGCTGGAATGCTGGCAGGCGTCATCTTGAGCAGGCAGCCGCAGCTGCTGTTCACTAGTGCCACAGCCCTGTAATGTCCGGAAGTTGTCTCCCTAGGGTCCTCCCTGACCATTGGTGCCCACAGTCCTTCTCCACTATCTTCTTGGATGGCTTTAAAGCCTTGGAGTGAGGGGCTGTGATACAGATGTCCCGTTTGTGCCTGAGCGCTCTGCAGACACTTCTCTCTGCGCTCTCACTGGTTGTATGTTTCTGTGTTGACTGCCATCTGCTACACAAGGAAAGTTCCCCAGTGAGATGTGATAGCTGCACTAATCTACGGCCATAGATACAGGTTTAGAGGGGAGCTTGATAGTATGTCCGTTTAGCAAAATAATAGGAGTAGCTTCACCTCTGGGGGTCATGAGCTCCCTAACTCTGGCTTCTTGGCCAGATTTATGTTCTCGGCATGCATTTTCTTCTAGGGATCACCCTAACATTCTTGCCATCATTGTAACCATGGGCAGATCTTCCCATGCCAGTTACTGTAACTCACAGGCTCACAGCTAAGTAAGACTGTTGATGAGTTCCCCCCTCCCACCCACCCCCGTTGCCTGCACAGCACCTTTAGTACTATGAAAGCTAGCCAGCATGGAGGAAGCTTCCTGTCAGCACCAGCTTGATTTCTCCATGCCTTGTGACCAAAGTGTGTGATGTCTTCATCACAGAGGTCTAGGAAGAGCTTAGGAAGGCTGGTGTTATGTGTGGTGCACCAGAGCTGGAATTGGAAAATTTGTGTCTCTGAGATCATCAAGGAACCCTTCTAAAGGATATCTTCTTATAGTCTTGTTATATTTGAAACCATGAAATAAAAAACTCATGCATCCCAAGCTGACCTCAAACTCACTCTGTAGGTGAGACTAGCCTTGAACTCCTGATTATCCTGCTTTCACTTCCTGGGTGCTGGGATTAGAGGCTTACTGTTACTAGCACCAATGAATACATATTTTAAAAGACAATTGCTGTATTGTGGCTAAAAGAAGTAGAGAGCTTGTCTCCAAAGTCACAAGTAGCCAGACCTGTGAAAGTCATATAAAGGATTCTTCTAGTCAAGCAGTTCCTTACCTCTTTCCTAGTGAGGTCTCCATCCTCCCCGTCCCACCTCCATGGTGAACCCGAACAGCTCACAGGGTTCCCTTTGGTGGACCCTCCTCCCCCGCTCCACCTCCATGGTGAGCCCACACAGCTCACAGGGTTCCCTTTGGTGGTCCTGGCCCCACCCCCTGGGCTTGGAGATACTAGTCATTTTTTTCTGTCTTTGTTTTGACCCATCCTGCCTCCATGTTTTGTTGAGCACTCTGGGCTGTGAGAATGATTGCCTGTCTCTGACACACAGTGTGGTGGCATGGTTTTCCCAATCTTTTTTTTGGGGGGGGGGGGGGAGGGGTTTGAGACAGGGTTTCTCTGTGTAGCTTTGCACCTTTCCTGGAACTCACTCTGTAGCCCAGGCTGGCCTCAAACTCACAGAGATCCGCCTGGCTCTGCCTCCCGAGTGCTGGAATTAAAGGCATGCGCCACCACCACCCAGCCCTATCTTGAACATACACAGGGTTAAAGCCTTTTGTGGCATACTTTGGGCTGTTTTTATAATACTCTGAGCCTTTCTGGGCTCCATGCCTCCCTTCATGCTCAAACCTTACAGTTTCCTGGTAATGCTGCTTGTCTCTGGTTGTGCCTTGGTTCCTTCAGGCACCTCCTTTGAGGAGAGAATTGTTTCCATGCTTCTGCCTGCAGGGTCACTTCTGTGGAACTTTCCAGACAGCCCAGCACTTTACCCTGCTCATGTGCAGGAACAAGATGAAAGCCCTCAGCAGCTTGTCAGCACTTGGTCCAGCCTTCAGGAGTGGTGTGTCACTTTGCCGAGAAAACACAGCTCTTGTTTATGAATGTGTACATGTCTGTGTGTGTGTATGTGTGTTTATGTGTATAGGTCACAGGACAACCTTAGCTGTTCTTCCTCAGATGCCATCAACCTTTTTGTTTTGTTTTTTGAGACAGTCTCCCACGGGTGTGGAACTCACCAAGTAGGGGAGGCTGGCTGGCCAGCAAACACTGGGGATCTACTTGTCTCTGCATGTGTGTGTGTGTGTGTGTGTGTGTGGTGTGTGTGTGTGTGTGTGTGTGTGTGTGTGTGTGTGTGTGTGTGTGTGTGTGATGTGTGTATATATGTGTGATGTGTGTGTGTGGTGTGTAGTGTGTATGGTATGTATGTGTGTGAGATGTGTTTATGTGTGATGTGTATGTGATGTGTGTGTGTGGTGTGTGTGTGTGAGATGTGTATATGTGTGATGTATGTGTGTGTGGTGTGTGTGTTTGTGTATTTGTGCATGTGTGTGTATGTGTGTGTGGTGTGTATGTTTGTATATGTGTGTATGGTGTGTGTGTGTGTGTGTTTAAAGTAGATTCTGGAGCTCAGACTCCAGTGCTTGGGCTCACACAGCAAGCATTTCACCAACTCCGACATCTCCCCAGCCCTCTTTTTTCCCTTTGAAAATCCCCAGCAAATACCAAGAGCAAGATCCATTATGGGGCTTAAGTGTTGCTGAGTGAAGACATGATCTGCTTCTGCTGTGTCTCCCGTGGAAGAGTGTCTTGCTGAGTGGTCTGGTTGTCTTCAGCCCCCTCCTTGCTGGATGTCTAATTTAACTGTGCTCCTTTTCCTGCCTCGCTGCGCCGAGCACACCCCCCTGAGAGAGTGACGACTTACTACTGGTGCTGCACAGACTCCTTTTGTCTCTGCTCTTGGCACATTGTTACTGGGAATCACGTAAAGATATCAGAAGACACGTGATTTTACATCAGAGAACCATCTGATTAAGCAGGATTGTATTTGCATATGATTTTACACAGCATGATTTTAAGCCTCTTTTTTTTTTTTTTTTTTTTTTAAAATGGTGCAGAGAGAAGAGGAAGCCCAGACATACTCCACTGAGCTCTCAGACAGTGGATCCGCACTGCGCTGTGTATATTCCTATCAGACTGCCATGCTTTTATTTAAAGGAAAGAAAGAAAGACGTTTAATGGGAAGTGACAAGCTTCCCCAAACTCTCCCTCTCAGTAAGCAGCTGAGCACCATGCATACTCAACGGACTTGGTTTTTTATTGGCAAATCCCAAGGTGGCAGCATGGCCGTTTAAATTCTTTCTTTGTGTTTTCCCTTTCTCTTCTCAGTTGTCTCTCACTTGCATAGGAACAGAGTCAGTTTTACTTATTTACACTTTTGCACGTACATGTCAGCATCTGTGTATGATAATTCTTTACCTGTGGCATCAGCTGCTGAGGAAAATTGACTTGGAATGCCTGCTCTGGTTGGATTTTTCTCAGCCACAGGCAAACAGGAGAAAGATGCAGGGGATCGAGAGAATTAATTGATATCTAGATAGGTGATAGATGACAGTGGGTGATAGAGAGTGGCTAGGTGGATGGTAGATGGTAGAGGGGTGATGGGTGGATGCATCAGCATCGGTATGCGTCTGTATGTGTGTATGCATGTGTTCTGTAGAGAGTGGTGGAATGGAGAGGCAAATGAGTGTTTGCGATACCCCTTGAGGAAAAAGTGTCATTTAGACATGTTTCAATTATTAGGCATGCTTGTCATTTTAATCATGTAGAAATTTAGAAATGCTGTCACTTCATCCTGTGGGATTTTTCAGTAGTGCGTTTTAAATAGGACCATAACATGGATTTTCTTTGTGTGTGTGCATGTATATGTAGAAGCATGTGCAGGTACGCATGCATGTATGTATGCGGAGGCCCAGGGATAACCTCAGCTGTCACCCCTCAGACACAGTCCACCTTGGCTTTTCTTGTTTGGGTTTGCACTCAGTTCCTTGGGCTCGCGAGGCAAGCACTCACAAACGGAGCTGTCACCAGGCCCTGAGACTTACATTTTCTAGAGCGGTCACCAGGCCCTGAGACTTACATTTTCTAGAGCGGTCACCAGGCCCTGAGACTTACATTTTCTAGAGCGGTCACCAGGCCCTGAGACTTACATTTTCTAGAGCGGTCACCAGGCCCTGAGACTTACATTTTCTAGAGCGGTCACCAGGCCCTGAGACTTACATTTTCTAGAGCGGTCACCAGGCCCTGAGACTTACATTTTCTAGCGGCCATTGGAGCTCTCTGCATTGCTGAGCTTTGGTCTCAGGATGGCCTGTGAACCACCTGTTCCCAGCTAAAGCTAAGGTGTAAAGAGCATAGAGCTGGTCATCTCTTTCCCACACTGCTCCATTGCTCTACTCGCCTGTGGCTTTTGAACACTAGTTGGTTTCCAGTGTTCATTTTCTTTTTTACTTTTTAAATTTATATTTAAATTTTAAAAGGGTGTGTATTTATGTGGAGAGATGGTGCTTACTGTTCTTTCAGAGGACCTGAGTTGGTCACATTGGCTTACAACCTCCTGTAATTCAGGGGATCCTGGGTCTTCTTCTAGCCTCCATGGCACCCAAATGCACATGGGTACTAAAAGGCACACATGCATACATACACACAAATTTAAGAAGTAATCTTTAGCAAATAAATATATTTTTCCTGTGGGCTTGGGAGCTGGCTCAGTCAGTGAAGTGCTTGCCTTGGGAGCGTGAGGACCTCTGTTTGACCACTCATCACTCATGTTTGAAAGAAAGAAAGAAAGAAAGGAAGGAAGGAAGGAAGGAAGGAAGGAAGGAGAGAGAGAGAGAGAGAGAGAAAGAAAGAAAGAAAGAAAGAAAGAAAGAAAGAAAGAAAGAAAGAAAGAAAGAAAGAAAGAAAGAAAGCTGGGCGTGGTGGTCCGTGCTTGTATTCCAGTGCAGAAGAGGTGGATGCAGGTGGGTCTCTGGGGCTTACTGGGCCACTCACCTAGTTCCAGGGCAGTGAGAGACTGTCTCAAACAGCAAAGTGGCTGGTGGCTGAGGAGTGACAGCTAAGCTTGTTCTTTGATCTCCACATGGTCCAGAACACATTCCTGAGCATGCACAAAACATACACATAAATGTTATGTCTTCTAAGTGAGTAAAATGCTGAGATTTGGTAAGTAAAGTTAGGGATAGGATGAGAATAGTTGAGGTTTTAGTCGTGGATATCTTATACACAGGTACTGTATTTATTATTACTTACCCAGTTAGGAGTCAAGATGTTATTTCCCAAAGCAAAAACCACACTGAGGTTTTCTTCTTACTTTTTAACAGCAAACTTACATATTATCTGTAAATTTGTAGTTTTTTGTTTGTTTTTGAGACAGGGGTCTGACTATGTATTAAGTAGACCAAGCTGTCCTTGAAATTTTTCTCGAGAGCTGCGATTAAAGGTGTGTACTGTCATCCCTAGCGAATCTGTAATTTTTGTGCACCCCGTGCCCTTCCTCTCTCTGCGTGTAGAAGGACGATTGCCTGCAGCCTTTTGTTGTCATTGGAGTGGTGCTATGAGAAGGATGGGGTGAAAGACTGTCAGGAGAGAGTGCTGGGTGCAGACAGGAGGCTGGCAGGGCAGGGCAGTCGGGACCCTGGGAGCCTGGTGTGTAGGAAAGGCTGCTGTGTGAGTTCACAGGCCAGCTGCCTAGCTTCCTTTAGATTCTGCTTGTGATAAGTAGCATACTTAAGTGAGGAGAGGGTAACCGTGGACCGACTTGGTGCTTTCAAGTCTCGAAGATACCGTTAGGAGCTACTGAGTGAGTGTCTCTGGCTCCTTGTGAGTCGCCTCCCACCTCTTCCAGTGTGTGTAGCCTTGAGAGTGCTGCAGCTTCTTCAGAGCTCTCTGCAGGGGTGCTGCTCCTCCTGTTTCCTTTGGAAGGTAAGTTTAAAGATGCCAGCATCGCTCAGTCATTCGGATACAGTTTTCTTTTTGAAGAGCCTTGAATTCAGGCAGTGGCTGTGGTGAGTTGTGTCGTTAATGCTGCCCGTGCAGTGCTGGTGCTGACTGACTTTTTTTTCTTCTTTTCACAGCTGTGATTGGGTTGTTGTACCCCTGCATTGACAGGCATCTAGGAGAACCACATAAATTTAAGAGAGAGTGGTCCAGTGTCATGCGCTGCGTGGCGGTGTTCGTGGGTATCAATCACGCCAGTGCTGTATCCTTTATGAAACATGCAGTAATGAGGCTTGCAGCCCCTGTAGTCAACTCGGATTTTCTCACTTTGTCACAACACGGTGCTGACCCAGTTGTTGAGACACCAGGGTAGCAAGTGTGAGGTTGGCGGAGGGGTAGAGCCTTGCTTAAGCTCCTTTGCAGTTCCATGTCCAAACTCTACTTGTGAGGCTGCTAATTCCTTACATGTAATTTTGTTCATTCAAAAATGAAACAGGTACATTTTCAAACCCCCCTCCCTCCTCCTTTCTTCTCTTAGGATTTGCAGGTAAGGACTCAGGATTTGCGAGTAAGATAGTTTTAGGTACTCTTTTAAAAGTACAGTTTTAAAGAGGCTATACTGACATTTATTGGTTTTACTCAACACCAGAAAGCACCCTTGCTCCCCCAACTTCCACAAGATCGGGTCTCACTGTGCTAGCTAACCCCGGCTGGCTTTGACTTTCAGCCCTTCCGCTTTAGCCTCTGGCGTAGTTTCCTGTGCAGTTGTTGTTGTTTGTTTGGGGGTTTATTTTCAACATTTCTGTTTTGTGTTTTTCATCTGGAAACAGTGTAACCAACTTGCTAACCTGTATCAATGCAATCTGGATCCTTACCAGTGATCTTCAGCGTCTCATCCTGACTTCTATCTTTCTTTCATTTTAATACTTTTTATTGAGCTTGTTCTTGGACAGTTTCATACATTGTGTGTACAGCACACTCTGAGGCTGTGACCCCACCCTCTCTTTATTATCTTTCCTCTCTGCACGTCCTTTCCCCCCATCCTTGACGTGTCCATTTTTTTTCTTTTTATTTGTTTTGATATCCACTGAATTTCACCGGGATTTCACCTGTGTGGCAGTGGATGTATCCTTTGGAAGTATTCTTTGGAGCTTGGTGGGCTCCTCAATGTGTACACATCTGAAGAGGATGACTTGCTCTCCCTCACAGTCCATCAGTAGCCAGGACTTCATCAGGGAGAGGTGGAGGAAGGACTCCATGAGCCTCTCTCTAGCCATGATTGGCTATCAGTAGGCCCGTTGTAGGCAGCCATGCCTGTGAAGTCATTTCTGCATGAGCTGTGCCATGTCCAGAAGACAGTATTCACTGCCCGCCCTTCTCCTCACCCTCAGGCTCCTTCTATCCTCTCCACATCCCCTTCTACAGTAACCTGTGAAGCTTGCAGGGAGTAGTGTAGAGTCCTGTGTAGGACCAAGCACTCACTCACCCTTACTCTTGCAGGGAGTAGTGTAGAGTCCTGTGTAGGACCAAGCACTCACTCATCCCTTACTCTTGCAGGGAGTGGTGTAGAGTCCTGTGTAGGACCAAGCACTCACTCATCCCTTACTCTTGCAGGGAGTAGTGTAGAGTCCTGTGTAGGACCAAGCACTCACTCATCCCTTACTCTTGGCACTTGGAGCAACCATCTGTCTTTGTATTTATCCCCCATTCATTTCATTGCAAAGAGACTATCTGATTAAGGATGGATGGGGGTAGCATTTATCTATGGGGGTAAATGTAAATGTTTAGGAGACAGCGTGGCACCATGACAGCTTGACAGCAGCAGGATCACCTCCAGGACCCAAGTCCCCCACAGCCTTGGGGTTTTGACTGCGTTTAGTACAGGTATGAATTCTCCCTTGTGGACTGAGCTTGGCATGTAAGAAGAGAGTGCTTGGTGCCCACATAACCGGGATACCACTATTGCACCTGTGCACGTACCTGGCCTAGCAGGTTGGTATTGTACATCATAGGGCTCACAGGTCAGTAAGATGCCTTTTCTCCCCCACCAGCTAGTATAGCGCCTTGCCTTCAGCCTTATGAAAGCTAGCCAGCAGGGGCAAGCTTTCAGCTGAGTTGTGGCTTGATTTCTACTCACCTTGCAATTATATATTACACCTTATGTTATCTTCAGCAATAGGGTCTTATCACCAACTAGTTCTGGTAGGTAACCAAGAGGAATAGCAGGAGCCTGAATTGTCTTGGAAGCCTCTGGGGCCTCTTTGGCCAACAACTCATGAGGAAGTGTTTCACACTTGGCACTAGGGTTTTCATTTAGTAGCTCTTGGCTCTCAGGCGCAGCATTATCCAGACATGCAGGATATCGCTCTTCTAATTCTCTAATTTAAAGATTTAAAATTGGCTTACAAACTGCCAAGCGTCTCTGTGACTTTTTCCCACATCTTTGCCTGCCTCTCCCTGCAGCTTCTCATGTGGGTGCTGGGATCCTGGCGTGTCTTCCTGCCTGCACAGCAGCCCCTTTTCCCCACTGAGCCGTCTCCCAGCCTTGTGTTTGCTCCTTAGGTGGAGGAGTTTGAACAGCCCTTTCTCCAACTTTAAAAGCCTTAGCATTCAATATGTGTTTTTGGCTTTGTTCCCTTTTCCCTGTGTTTCTACATGAAATACTTAAACATAGCAATCTTAGCTGTCACGTCTACCCTTTAAAGAAAATAGAAGATGTTTACAAAATTTATAGCAAAGACTTTTCGTATTAGGTTACTTAGCGTTTGGAAAACCACAAGGTATAGCTTCTGAAATTGATATATTTGACTGATTTACCCTAAAAGCCTCCTTATTGTGCTAAATAACTTAATCTAGTTAGCAAGATGGACCCCATTACTATTGTCTCCTGCTGTTTATTTATGTGAATGCCTCTTGCACAAAGGAATCAGTGCTGAGAACCTTGTGTTTAGAGTGTACGTACAAGGACAGTTAAAAGAAGAGAGAAACTTTCCCAGATGGACTGTTAGTTTCTTGATAAATCAGTCACTCAAAAGGACTGATCTTTAGAAAGTGGCATACAGCTGTCCTCAGAGGCTGAGGACTTGGCAAGCAGGGGTTTTGTATGCTGCTTTAGTGAGAATGTGGGAATGGTGGGGTAAAGTGTGATATCCCTGGAATCCAGAAATGGCTTCATAGGCATGTTTTGGGGGCAAAGAAATGAGAGACTTTTGTAGTACTGACAAGGCCAGTTAGTTTGGTCAGATCTCTAGTCCAACAAGGAGGCAGTTACAGAGCCAAAGTGGAGCCTTTGAGGCATAGAAAATTCCCTTTTAATGACACTCAGAATTAATTTTCTTAGTGTAATCCTCTAACAAAAAATAAAAAAAAATCAGAAAATTGAATTCATAAAGCTTCCTTCTGCTTAGAGATTTTTGAGTAAAAGGAGCCATATATTTGTGAATAGATGCTTAAGTGTGTGCCAGAAATAAAATATCATCAGAGCAAAGTGCCCTGCTAGAAAGTCGCAGGCACTAGAATACTTTGGCAGGGGAGAAGGTAATGTTCACTTCAAGGCTTTATCCTCAACAAATTAAAACCAGAGCAGTTGACATAATAGAAGGGATGCTGTGTCCTTGGTGCTCTTGTTCTGAACTGCATTATTATAAAATGTGTCTGTCAGTAAATCACACAGCCAGTGTGGTACCCTGTTAATAGCTGTCAACTCTTCAATTTCCAAGTTCCTGTATGATTTTCAAGTACTTCTAAATCCTTTTGAGAAGTATTATTCGTTTTCTTTTCTATTTTCTTTCTTTTTTTTTAAAGGTGTGTTCTTTTAGCACTACTATCCAAAGTGCACAGTTACATGTTCAGTCACAAAGGCACTTCCTAAAGAGTGCCTGACTTTACAATTAGGAATGTGTATAGCCTTTTTTTTTTTTTTCCTGGATGGGTTACAAGAAGGTGGGATCTGTTAATGCCCTCTGCATTTGGAATTTAGACATGGTTCCTGCTTCTTTATTTTGTGATGGCTCCTTAGCACAGGTCTCAGAAAGTAGACTTTGACAACAGCTTCCAGTTCTCTCTCACGTTGGCCGCACTGTCAGTAGGGCTGTGGTGGACTTTTGACAGATCTAGAAGTGGTTTTGGCCTTGGCGTTGGAATCGCTTTCTTAGCAACTGTTGTCACCCAACTGCTAGTCTACAATGGTGTTTATCAGTAAGTATTGACCTTCTTGTTACCTGGTTGCTATGTAAATCAGCAGAAACTGCATTCAGAATTGAGGATCTCAATGGAGTTCGCCAGTTTAACGTACAATATCACTTACTTTCGTTATGCTTGTCTTGAGTGCCCTTGTTTTTGCTCCGTGGGTTATTAAAATATTTCTATTGTTCTAGATACACATCCCCAGATTTTCTCTATGTCCGTTCTTGGTTGCCATGCATATTTTTTGCTGGAGGCATAACAATGGGAAACATTGGTCGTCAACTGGCAATGGTAAGCTGAGGCCCATGGAGTGTGTGAGGTGCATGATACCATTCCTCAAAATGGCCATCGGTCAAGGGAACGCCTCAATGAAGACAGTGTTCTTTGAACTCTCTTGTACTTTCATTGAAATAAATCATTTGGAAGAATTTAATCTGAGGAGTATTGATACTTAAGGAACAGCTGGAGAGAAGAGGAAAACTAGGTTATGGGTGGTATGGTAGAATTTGTTAGCTGTATAGTGATACTTGATTCTTGTTGCTTAGTTTTTGTTAGTTTAGTTTTCTAGTCCATTAACAAAGAACTATTTCTTTTTTCTTGATTCAGTCTCAAGTAACCCACCTTGTCTTGAACTCACTATATAGCTTAGGATGACCTTGAATTTTTGATCTTCCTGCTTCCACCTCTTGAGTGCTGGGATTACAGGCCTGCACCACTACACTAGAGTTATGTGGTCCTGGAGATTGAACCCTGGGCCTTTTTCATGCTCAGCAAGCATTCTTATCAACCGAGCCACATCCTCAGCCCCTAATAAAGGAACAGTTTTGAAAATGAAAAGGACATATTATAGTGTTTATAAACTACGACTATTTCAAGCTAATCAAGATGCTCATTTTAGTTATGAATGGAAAAAGATACTGATAACCCAGGTCATGGGGCTAGAGTTACACAGTAACATTCAGAGGCCACAGCAGTAATTGCTCTTACTTGAGTTTGGCCAGCTGGGAGAATTGTGATTGACTTGCTGTCCTTTTGATAATCTGAACACCCAGTTCTAACGCTGTGTTTCTTTTCCTTTGAATTTCAACTATTCATTTTGGTAGCTATATTTTTTAGAAGATTGTTTTAATTTCGATCCTTTATATTGTAATATATATTTTTTTTTGTTAAATCATAGAGTGATTTGAAATAATGATTTAAATTCAGCACTGTCCTGAAACTCATGGCTTACCTTTGGCTGATCTATGAGCATAGAAGAGACACACTGTGCCCTTCGTATTTCAGGGTTTCCCTGCATCACCGGCTCCTATAGCCTGCAGTATGGAAATTATGTTTTTTTTTTGTGTCCTCCACTGCTGCCTGTAGATTTTTCACTTTGAGAATGCCATTGTGTAACTCTTCGTTCTCTGAGGAATAAAGTGAACAGATTAAGACATTCATTTTTATAGCATTGTAATTTGTTTGGAAGTTGCAATTCACAAGTGATTTTAAATCTGTTAACTTTTGACCTTTTAACCTTGCAGTATGAATGTAAAGTTATTCCTGAAAAATCTCATCAAGAGTGAAGAAGGCAAAAATCAGTCTTTTCTCTAGGAAGCGGCGTGTATATGATAGGCACACCAACGAAACTTTGGACTGTAAAATTGCGAGGATGCAGTTTTTCTTTGATGGTGTGTGTGTGTGTGGGTGACACACACGTTTCTGCAGTCTGTGATTGCTTCTGTAAATCAGTTACCAACCTTTCGGTGTTTGAGTTCAATAAATGTAAGATATATGTGCACTACATGAAAGATATGTTTATGAGTACATGAAATTTCTAAATTTTTTAAACATACCATGCATTGTATCACAATGTTGATGTGCCAAACTATGCTATTACTGTCACAGAGAATAAGAATGCTTTGAACAATTTAGAAATTTAGTGAAACAGAAGAAGAAAGCTAAAAACAAACCGAACAGAAAGCAAATGGGTAGCTGGTCTTACCTCTCACTGACTGTCGTGCCTTTTCCTGTTTCTAAGCAGCTGTGTGCGTTATGAGCACTCCGCGTGTGCTTGGTCTCTGTTTCAGAGTTTCGATCTTACTGTGTTAGCGATAAACTTCTGTAGATGGTGTTCAACTGCAGTACTGCAGGCATCCAAAGACTACTTTTCTATGTTGACAGACTTTACCAGAGGTATATGTGATGTCGGGGCGTTACCAGCATTAACCTACTTTGAGTCTCAATTTGGAAAAACATAACTAAAAATTAGGAGATTTGACTAGATAAATGTGTTTGGGGAATACTGTGTGGCCTTTTCTCTGCCACAGAAACCAAAGTGATATTAGCTGTTACTTGGTTCTGAAGCTCACTGCTTTAGCACATGGATGATTAAGGAACACCAGGCACATGGATCAAAGTGAAGGTTCTGAACTACTGGGTCTAGAAAGCAAGCCATGCTGGTGGGGCCGGGCCGTGGAACCGACCAGCCCTGGGAGGCCTGAGTCTGTTGCCTTCACAAGTGCAGTCTGAGGATGGTGGATGCAGGCAGGACTCCCTGTGTGCTGATGTCTGCTGCTGAATGGTTCCGTCCTTGGAGAGTGAATCGAGAGAGCACTCACAGAGCTTCCTGGCACATCTCATTAACAATTCCTGCCATTTACTTACGGTTTAAGTGTATCAGCAGACTTTCCACTCGCTCTTCCTTTCTGAAATGGTTAATTATCTGGCACACGAGGGTAAATGATTCCAAGTACTGTGGTGTGCGTGTGCTTATGTGTTGAATGTGTGAGAGAAAATGTATACATGTGTCTGTGTGTGCATGTGCCCATGCGTTCCTACAGTGTCAAGTAGATATTTTAAATCTTTTTCTTTTAAAGCAGTGCTGAAATCTTGTACACCAGAGTGTAATGTGCTTTGTGTTCTCAGGCTAAGGGTGTGAGCATCCCAAGAGTGTCCATGTACAATATGTGTATGCAAGGCCAATGACAGGAGTGGAGAACACACCACTATCGTTTATTAGTCTGTCTTTCAGATGCTGTTCATTAGAATAAATAAGGTCTATTTTTAGAATCAAATTTGTAAACACTATAAAATCTTTAATAAGTTATAAGGTATATGATATGTTTTCTTTGAAAATTGCTGTTGAAAGCAAGATGTATTAAATATGTAATTATCACCATGTGTGAGTCCTTTTTCTTCATGATAAATATTAAGATATGGAACTGTAGGTTAATCTTATAAAATTAATACAGGTGGTTGGATATGCTAAGAAATGATGAAAGAAAACTCAGCAAATCCGTTGGGATAGAAGGGTTATCAAATGAAAATGATAAACAAGAAAGGATAATTCTGGTAAAAATAAAATGGTTTTTATTATTTTCATAATCACACAAATCTTTCTGCACTTAGAAATATGGCAAACATTGTCTATGGTGTGTCTCTGCTCTCATTATTTGAACTTTTAGGAATTTGGGCCTCTGAAAACTGAGACTAAATTCTGAGAAAACTGAAAATTCCCTAGTTGGAGTCCTGCTGATACTTCACAGAGTGGGCTTTCTCCTACCTTTTCATGGGTTCTGAGGATCCAACTCAGGTGGTCTGGCTGTGGGGCAGGTGCCGTCCCTGCTGAGCCCCCTCTCCCTAGCCCTTGCTCATTCTTTGCTTAAATGTTAGTCTACACTGAGCCCCATCCCCCTCCACTGAGGCCCAGGGCGTTGTGGGTAATGCAGAGGGTTCACACATCCTCTCTTACCGAGGTGAGGTGCAGACAGAGTCAGTCTCACCGAATCCTCTGCACTCGTGGTTGCTCAGTCTCCTGAAGTCGGTGTGTGCTGCACGAGGCAGCGCTCTGATGCCTCGGGCAGTAATCTCAAGCCCTGTGTGGCTGGAAAAGCCCTTACCAGGCTTTGGAATTCTGGGTCCACCTTTTCCTCCCTTCTCCTCTGGCACTTGATGTGTTTGGGAGTGTGCCACTGTGTGCCACAGCCTGCAGGAACCAACTTTTTCTCACTGGCCCTCCCGTTGAAGACTTTCAACCCTGTTTTCTGTGGTCTGACATTGCAGAAGATGAACTTGCCCGTGTTCTCAGGGTGATTCTTGCTTTGTAGACAAGCTTGTCATTCACTCTGGGTGTTTTAACTTGATTTTACCCTCCAGGCTTCACCACCACCACACACACACTCTGATTTCTTTCTTCTAACTTGGGATTCAGGGTGCAATTTCAATTTGTGGACCTATGTCTTCAGTTCTGGAAATTTTTTTTCTCCCTTTTTTACTTGATGTTTCAAGTAGCCCAAGCCAGCCTTGAACTTTCTATGTAGCGAAGGATGACTTGAACTTCTGATCCTCCTGTAGCTATCTGCAAGTGCTGTGTGCGCGTGAGGCATTCACCACCATACCTCGATTACAAGGGGCTTGAGAGAGGTAGGTGGTGTTTCCTTAAACCTAGAGAGGCCTGCAGAGAAGGCAGTTAGGGGGTTGGCTGTGACGTGCTGACACTGAGGTTTGTAAGGGGTATTTGGAGAAATGCAGACATTGGCATTTGGGTGACTGCATGTAACTAAGGTGTCACCTGTACGTGACAATAAAGGAGACTGTGGGGATGGATGGGATTACCTTGGAGGGCATTCTAGAATGTGGGCAGAGAAGCTGGAGAAAGAGGAACAGGAGGAAGCCAGAGTGTGCCTTAATGGAGGGGAAGAAGGTTTGGGGCAGGGCGCAGCAGGCCCGGCATTGGGAAGGGTTAATTAACTTTGTAGATAAAGGAGGTGCTCACTGATTTTCTTTCTAGAAAACAATCTTTCTGATGTGTTACATTTCTCTGTGTATGTGTCCACATGCATGCGGAGGCAAGGTGACAACCTTGGGTATAGTGTCTCCCCAGCCACCCCGCCCTTCCTTTTTTAGGACAAGGTCTCTCATTCACCTGGAACTTGCCTGGAAAGCTAGGCTGGCTGACCATTGAGCTCAGGGACCTACTCGGCTCTCTCCCCAGAGCTGGAATTATGAGCACACACTACAATTCCTGGATGTTTGTTGTATGGCTACTGTGGATCCAAGTTATGGCAAGTTCTTTATCAACTGAACCACCTCCGTTATATCTTGGTAGTGCTTGTCTGTGCTTGCAGCATTCAGGAGGCTGAGGCAGGAAGATGGCCAGTTTTAGGTCAGCCTAAGCTATACAGTAAGAACCTGCCTTAAATAAATAAGCAGATAAACCAAAAAGAAAATATTTCACATACACTAATACCATTGAGAAAACCTTCTCACAGTCTGGGTCACTGTTGGGAATGAGGAGATGGGCAGGCAACAGGAGAGCTTTGGAGTTTGGGGAAACAGCTGGGAAAGGACAAGAAAGGAAGGAGCAATTGCCAGCCAACATTGAGGCTGTCAAGGACCAAGCCAGTGGGTATGGTTGTGTCATGTGTGGATGGGCTCAACAGTTGAGGAATTTAAACCACAAGAAAGTAGGTTTGTTATACTGATATTCGTGGGTCAGCTTGGCACCACCTGATGTGAAAGATAAATGGAGGGTCCTAAGGTCGGATCAAGACAACTATGATGGACCCAGGCAAACTGGGGAAGAAAGCTGAATCACTAGTGCTGGTCCAAGAACGTGAGGGAAGAGGGTGAAGTCAAGATTGCAAATCTGAAGGAGATTTATACCCTTGTGTGGCCGCGCTTTGCAACCTCCTGAGGCAGGATCTGGGTGTGTCAGTGAGGGTGTTCCCAGACAGTAATAAGAGTGGGACCGTCCCACAATTAGGACCTAGGACTGAATAAAAAGGAAGAAAACCAAGCTAGGCACCACTGTTTATCTCCCTGCTTCCAGACTCCGCATGCCAAGGGACCAGCTACCTCAAGCTCCTACAGCTGTAACTACCTTCACCTCTCACCGAAGTCAAGCCGAAATAAGCCAGCCCTAAGCTGCTGCTTGGCAGGCACTTGGTCACAACAATGGGAACCAACCAATACTAGCCCATGTTTTCTGAGGCAGCCTGTGGGTCTGCAGGCTGACAGGAACTCTTGGACCATTTCCAGATCTTGATGAGGTTCAAGGGATGACTGAAACAACTGTTTACGGAGTTCACTGGAGTAGGTGGAGGGGAGCCGCAGTGGACATGCACAAGGGTGAGACAGATGATGTTCATGCTGATAGAGATGTTGCCTGGGATGGTCTCCGATCAGATGCAAAGAAAGGTCCTCATGTCTCCCTTTGTCAGCGAGTGACGTTATCATCTCTGTCTGCATAGCATTTTAACCAGGGTCCTTTACATCGTCTATTTACTTTGTAAGGTATCTGTCATTATCCTGGTTGTCCTGTTCCTTTCTGTTGTGGTGATGAAACACTGACCTGAAGCTGAGGGGAGGAAAGCTTTATTTGGCTTAGCTTCCAGGTGACAGTCCATCTTTGAGAGAATTCTTGGCAGGAATCAAGCAGGCACTTGGAGGCAGAAACCATGGAGCTGAGAGGCACTTGCTCCCAAGCTCATTCTTGGTTAGCTTTCTTATACAGGCCAGGATCATCAGTTAATAAGACAGTGCCTTCAGACATGCCCATAGGTCAACCTGATCTGTGCAGTTCCTCAACCCAGGCTTTCCCCTCAGAGGTCTCTGGGTCATGTCAGGTTGATAAAGCCACAGGGCAAAATTATCATGAAAAGAATCTACTTGAGTGATCTTTTAATCCGTTTGAGAGACATTTTTCCCCATCTTTGCTCCTGATATTTCTTACTATCTCAGTTTCTTTTCCTTACAAACGGCCTGTGAGAGGACTGGAAATGTGGCTCAGTTGCCTACCACACATCACAGAAGCTGAGTACTGTGTGGCACATGGCTATCATCTCAGCACTCAGGAGGTGGAGGAGGATCAGAAGTTCAAGGTCATCTTCAACTGTATGTCAGACTGTAGGCCAGTCTGAACTACATGAGACCCTGCCTCGAAACAAAACAACCCCAACTCTCTTTCTGACTTTGGAATGCCTCTCAGCTGGTCCCTGTCATGCTTCATTCTAAAATTGCTTGACTTGACCCTTCAGCTCCCAGAGCCCCTCCTTAGTGGTTTCCATTTGGTGTTTTTAATTTCAGTGATCAGTTTTAATTTCCAGGGTCTGTTTGTCTGTCCGTCTGACCATTCGTCCATCCATCTGTCTGTCCCTCCCTCTCTCCTCCCCACCCTCTCTCCAAAGATTCTCACTGTGTAATCCCAGAACTCTCTTTGTACAGCAGGCTGGTCTCAACTCACAGAGGTCTGCCTGCCTCTGCCTCTGTTTGCCGAGTCTGGGATTACTTGTGTGCCACCAAGCACCACAAGAGTCTCTATTTTTAAAAAAAGTTTATAAGAGCCCTTAACTTTGGAGGATGTCAACTCTAAACTCTTTTAGGGGATAGGAATGCCATGGTTGTTGTTTGTTTTGAGATAAGTCTTACTCTCAGGATGTCTGTGTGGTTGAGACTGACTTTGAACTGAAGTCAGTCCACCTGCCTCAGCCCCCTGAGTACTGACATTATGGGAGTGAACTACCATATCTGTGTTCTAGAATTTCAGTCTTCCAAAGAGGCATTGCTGGACAGGGCCTGAGGGGCTGACCACCAGCCACCCTCTGATGCGGAGTCATGCCTTGGGCGACCTGCTCGGCATCAGAGATGAATGCCAACACTCACATAATGCAAATTCTGATTTGTTTTTGCCCACCTGGGGTTAAGAAACGGGGAAAGTATGGAAGGGTTGGCTAGCCTGGCTCCTTCCTCGGGACCAAGAAGGTCAGTTACCCTCTTCACTTTTGGACACCAGCTACCTCTGCACTTAGAAAGTCCTTGGTTCTTTCAGCAGTTTTTTTTCCATGGCATCTTGAGATAGCATTTCCCTGTGATTGCTTTCTTCTCAAGAAATCCTTACAGGTTCTGGTCCAAGGCACATTTTTCTTTTCAGTGTAAATGCAAATTCTTTAAAAAGCTTTTATTGTTCTTGTTTCTATAGGTTGGCAGGAAGAGGGGAGAAGCTGTACCCTGCCTCCTTTGCTGGCTTGATTAACACCCCCCCCCCCCCCCCCCCCCCGTGTGTGTGTGTGTGTGTGTGTGTGTGTGTGTGTGTGTGTGTGTGCACGTGTACATGTGAATGTGTATGTGTTTTCATATATCTGTGCTGTGTGATGCTAGGAATCAAAACCCTGGACTTAG